ACTGCACACACTTCTGATCTCTGACTTTTTGTAACTTGTTCAGATGATCATTTAAATGTGACCTCCATCAGACTGTGTTGTAATGGTCCACGACCCTGACACACGTCCTGACGTCTCACACACGGCACTTTGTATTTACAGACCTTCATATGGATCACACATCAGTTACCAACCTTTGACAACCAATTTGACCGTGTTGTCATCCACCTGAGAGGCCGTGGGCCACAGAGAAGGAGGGTCTGTTGGAAAACACAGACTCTGAATTGAATTAGGAGTGTGTTTAAGACTGACCCGGATCTGACTGACGGAATACTTTGCTAACAGACGGTGGATTTAAGGGACGTCACTAAAGCTGTCTGCACTGACTGTGAAAATTCAAACATCAGAATCAGAGTCGACGTCTCAGATTGGAGGATGACCAAAAACACGGATGAGTGGTCCAATGGGATGCATTTGTCAAACGACAGGCTGATGGGCCAAATCTGGCCCCCCTCATCATATTAGGTTGTCCACCGGACCTCAGCTTAGAATAGTCTATGGTAGACAGTCCACAGTAATGGTAACTGGATGGGTTGGATGCAGTGGTCAAATCCCATTCATAATCAATGGCAGTTAATTTACAATTCTAATTCTAAGTCCAATTTTACTGTATGTTTGATTTAAAACAAAAAACCCAGTCATTTCAGTCTGTTCAAATACAATATTTCCACACAGTAAATCTTATTTCTGCTTGGCCCGCAGATTTGACTGTGGTTCAGATTTTGTCCTCTTGAGTAACTGAATTGGACACCATGGAGAAATAGGAGCCCGGCTACAGCAGAAATCACCAGAGTTGAGCTGATCACAAACGTTTAATCATTTAAATAATTTTTAAAGAATGTGAAATGAACCATTGCAGTGGGAGTCCTTCAGTGATTCAGTGTCATTGAAGTAGAATAACTGATGAAATGACAGAACAGTTGACTATTTGTTTTTGGATTGTTGTGGTGACGTGTGTCTGTTGTACAGTCAAAACCACAACAGTGAAACAGAACAGTGTTGTCTCTGACTGATGGAGTTATAGAGAGAGAACGAGAGACTGAAACTAAAATAAAAAAATAGTTTATAAAAAAGGGCCGGAAAGAGAACAGTAGGTGGTGGGTTAGAGATGGATGGAAATAAATAAAACAAACAAAAACAATAAAGAAGAACAGTTTTATAAGTTCTGTGACATGGAAACTGTACAAGATGAATGGACGAGCTGGTAGTTAGGCAGGTGTTGGTGCCCAGTTAGAAACCCAGTCAACATTTAAATAGCTACATAAATATGTAAACGCACAGATATTTACTTGGTTAGATAGCTACACGGAAAACACACACACACACACACACTAACATTCACTGTGACACATTTCTCCATGTAGTTACACCTGAGTTCTGCCTGATTCCTTTTTGGAGGCAATTTCCAGGACAAATGCTGGACATCATGTCAGATACTTCAGGTTCCTGTGGCTGTGGTGTGAGAGGACACCGCAGCTCTGTATGTGTGTGTGTGTGTGTCCCATGGTGTGGGCCCTCCCGCTCTCTCATGCTGAGCCCCAGCGCTGGGCGATGACGCTAACAAGCTGGTGGCTGAGAGCAGTGGTTATTAATGGACAGCAGCTGCAGGTACGAGTGCAGGCAGACAAAGAGTCATATATAATCATAAAGTCATAACAAACGAGCTCATGGAAATGAGGAAGCAGCCTCTTCAGGCTGCAGCCCACAGAACAGGGACACGAAGAGACAAAAAAGACAAAAAAAAAGAGAAAACACAGTCAGGTTTCCTCCCACTTCAAATGGCTGAACTCTGACCTGTGAGCGTGGACGTGTCAGAGAGGGTCAAACCTCAGAGTGACCCCCAGAGTGACCCCCAGAGTCCACCAATCATTTTTCTGCCCCTGACCTGCAGCACTGTGCAACATAGAAACATGTCACTGTTGAAAACAAAATAAAAGTAACTCTGATTATTTCAATAACATTCCTCTAGGTTTTTGTACACATAACATTTGTATTAAAAAATGTAAATAAAATACTTGTATTTTTTAAAATCTAAGAATATTTTTGCATTCATTTTTTTATTTTAACAGCGCTGAAAATGCTGATTTTCTGATCATATTAATAAATTGTTAGTGTACATTTGTAGCATTGTCTAGTTGTTTACTTTATTTTCCATCTTGTTTGTTCAATATGAAATATTTAGTAGTTTTTCTTGCTTGTTCATAACATGAGCCAAAACCTGGTTACTTATTGTTGACTTTTCCACCTAGACTTTAAGATTTTATTAAGATGACTGCAGTAACGCCTGAGTCTTGCACTGACGTGGGTAAACTTCTCCTCTCCGTCACCTCCGTTACACAGGCCTCAGCTCATGATATGATCCAGGAAAATGGCTCTATTTTGTAATTAAAAAAAAAAAAAGCAAAGATGATTATGAGGGAAGATTAAAATGCTGCACATCCTGCTCATCTGCAGCAGGCGGGCTTATCCAGACACATGCTTCCAATTAGCTGGGCTTCTTCATGTAAATGCTTCATAAATTATCCTCTGCCCTGGGATTAGGTGCTCATAAAGAGAGAGAGAGAGAGAAAGAGAGAGAGAGAGAATGAGAGCATGGAAAAAAACAGCTTTAGAGTTAGTCTCCTGGTAGCAAACCAGGGGACAGTTAGAGGGTCTGAGGACAGCAGGAGACGCCGCTCCATTAGGGCAATCTGAAAAGTGTCAGCTCACAGAAAACTGTCCTCTCTCCTCAACACACCTCCTGTTGCCATAACTCGCTGCGATTAGCTACAGTAGTCCTGGTACAGACACCAGAGCTAACATTAGCTACAACAGTCCTGGTACAGACACCAGGGCTAACGTTAGCTACAACAGTCCTGGTACAGATACCAGAGCTAACATTAGCTACAACAGTCGGCTTTTTGTGACTGACAATTAACCGTCGCTCTTCATCTCAGTGTTTTATTATCAGTTTTAAGAGAGAGGTTTTTCTATTCTGTTGTGTCTGTAAACGTGACGCCATAAGAAAGATGCTGAGACTCGGTGTCTGGAGGCCAAACCTGGCCCTTCAGAGCTCTGTCAGAGTGAATGCTGCAGAGCAGCTGTTTGTCAGAGAAGACGTTTTAAAAGCGAGTGGAGCTGAGTCGCAGCTCGTGCAGCGTGACAGACACTTGTCCATGTAGAAGCTCGACAGAAACTCTCAACAATACTCTGCTTTACTGTCCATCACTGAGACGCTGAGCAACACTGGCTGTCACTGATACATGTAATATAAATGCAATCTCACTCTCTGCTCTCTGATATCCACACACACTCTGACACACACTCTCTGCTCCTCTCACACACTCTATTACTCAAAAGTACACTCAGATTAAACCTAAGCCTTGCCCAGCGGCAGCCGCTAACCCCAGATCTGGCACCAGATGGCGCTACGTCGCTCAGTGCCAGGAGATAATCGGGACAGATCGGCCTGTATTACTGAGCCATTATCTTCTAATTATTCTGCTGCGGTGCTCTGATCCTGCCGTTTGTGTTAAAGAGGAGGCGCAGGGAGGCTCTGGACCTCCAGGCTGCTCCTCCAAGAGAGAAGGAGAAGGGAAGGATGAGGATGAGGAGGACAGGACGGGACGCCGTCCGTCTGCACCTGTTCATCAAATCCCTCTCACTCCTCAGAGGAGAAGAAAGAGTTCCTCCAAACTGCTCCTCCTCTCCTTCATGACTCCTTCAGAGGTGGAGAAGAAGAAAGAAGATTGCTGTCAGCTGTTGTCAAGACTATTTTGCAATATTTTGTCAAATTTTTAGCCGTGTACGAACTAAACTTGTGTTAGAACTCTGCTAAATATAAACATTTCAAATATCTTTTGAAGGAGACATTCTTTACACTTTTGTCTTATCCTGACACTGGTTTGTTCATGTCAGTTCAAGGTCATTTTCAACCAATATCTGACCCTGATGTTTTGATGGACAGAGGTGGAAAAGCTCTGTGGGTGAAAAAGAGCATCATTTAAAAAACAGAACCTAATGGACACATGTGACCTGTGTGACTTAAACCACCAGTGGGTTTTTTTCCGTGTTCTACTGACGACTCAATAGAATGTGATTAGGAAAACAGTTCTAGTCATTTGTACTGAGTCTGTAAATAAACCTCCTCCTCCTCCTCCTCCTCCTCCCCTCCCTGTTCCCCCCTGAAGGATAGCAGTAAGTGCACACAGGCATATGGCTCACCATGTGCTGAGTCCCACGTGCACACTCTTAAGCGCGTTTCTACCCTCAACATCTTCGCTTAATTATCAGCATTTTGTTCAGCATCCTGCTCGTTTGCATATTAATATGTGTCAGCTCTGTGAGAGGATGAAGGCACTCAGGAAACGCTGTAAAGGGACAGGATGTGTTTTATTCTGTCGCCGCAATGTCAGATCGTGACTCTCAGGGTGACAAAGGATAGTTCTGCTGAGTGTGCTGTTGTGAAACAAACACAAACTGGTTTTTAGTTGAAAAATAAAATAAAATAAAACCGGCATGCTTGTCTGCTAGAGCGAAAGAGGGGCACGGGCCCACCGCTGCCTCTTGTGGTCGAATTGTGTCAACTAGACAGATCTGAACAAAGGATTTCAAACAGTGATGTCACTGGGAGTGTACGAAAATATCGCGATATTTCATTTCATGATACTGTATTGATATTTTACAGCACTCAAATTGAGTTTTTTATTAACATGCAAATATTCATGACGTTGGTTCATTTCTGTGTTGCATTTAAACCACCAACCGCTAACCCGTTTTACACGGACTGAAAATATTTCCAAGTATTTGAGACTTTGAGTCAAACAATCTAATGTTTTTTCAATTTTCTATCCAAAAAAATCTTTGATTTCTTCTTGAACAATTAAAAACGTAGATCCTTCTGTTCCAATTTTAATAACCTGATAACCTGTTTACCATGTAACATTGTGTCTACTAAGCTGACTCTATGAGGTTTGGTCTGTGAGCTAAAATTACCAATTTAAATTTAATCTAATGTTATTTTTTTTTAAATCTGTTCTAAAAACGTGAATCATTCATTTATGTAATATTGTTGAGCCTCGTTACCAACAGGTCCATCTGTTCCCTCTCCGGTTTATGCAACAAAATGCTTCATTTGTGCTTCAACGTTGCTCAGACTCATAATATTTGAACAGTTTTTCCGTTCTAACCACCAGGTCCTGCCCTGTTCACCCACTGAAAAGACAACATGCTCTGTGTTGTTCGCCGCTCGGCCTCTCTGAGCAAAACGTACACGTCATAAACCTCGGCGCGGCACCGTTGATCGATCTCCGGGGCCCACAGGCCGCACAGCGAGGGCATGTACATGCAAATGAGAATAGCTAAATACCACTGGGGGGTGGAAGAGAGAGGCAATCACTTCAGCTGACACAGGAAGGAGGGAGGGAGGGAGGGAGTGGGATGTTGGGAAAACACGGGGGTCATATATCCACAGGGAAATTTTTATGCAGAGAAATAAAGAAAGGAGGTTTAATTGTAGGAGACGCAGCGAGAGAAGGGTTTATAGTCGGGAAAATAAAACAAAACAACAAAAAATAAGAAAAAATAACAGATTTATCTGCTGAAAATTCTCTGGTTTAAAACCTACAGTTTAAACTTCATCTGGACAAGAGAGTTAAATGTTCAGGAGGGTTTCTGTCACCGACAGCACTAATACTGTTGTTTTCCATGAGTCACAAAAATCAACAAAGTCAACCAAAAAGCTACAATTTAGCCCCAAACAATAAAATTACTTTTTTTTTTTTGGTAAAATGACAAATACTGATACAATAAGCCATAATAGCATCTGCAGCTAAAGATGATCCAGAACAATGGGCCAAGGAAGGTCGACAGTTTATCGACAATTTGGCTAAAGTTTTGTTTTAAAGTAACCAGTAACAGATAGGTTAAAGTTATCTTACAACTCTAGCAGTAATTGCTAAATGTTAGCACAAAGATACTTAACAAAAGCACTCTTTTATCAAAGACGATACCTCAAAGTGATACCTAAAACATAGCAAAAAAGTTACTGTTTACCTAAAAGAAAGCCACAGCTTGCAGGTTATAAAAAAATAAAACAATTACAACCAAAAGATGAAATTAGCTGATAGTTACTTGGTTTTATATATCAGAAATAGTTCCAACTCCTGGGCTAATGTAAAGACCATAAATTAGCCACCAAATCCTCATAATAGGCTAACGGAACCAACAACTGTCACCAGCCTTGATGACCGTCAGTGGGCCAAACCAACATATTTGACAGTATCAGCCGATCCACCCCAGTCTGAGTCTGGTCCAGTTTGTGTTTTTGTCTTTCTAACCGGCTCCACCTGTGCAGCTGCTGCTGCAGCCTCTGCCTCTTCAGAGCTGCAGTTCAAAGCTCAGATTAGTTGATGGAGTGGATTGTTCTGAAGGTGACGTCACTCCACCAACAGTGGACTTGTTATTTGTCCTCATTGTGTCTTAATGAAGAGTGAATGGAGCAGCTCGGAGCAGATTATAGACTCCTCATTGTTGCTCTGCTCCTCCCGCCGGTTCATGGCATCAGCGTTAAGGGTCAGGATTTACTCAGCCTCCGACTCAATCCTCGGGATCTTTCCCAGAGAAGTGAAAAAGAGCTTCTTAATCATCTGCCTCTTCATCATCGTCTTCCCATGATCCACTCCTATCAGTCTTTTGACCGCCGGGCTCCTCGTCCTCTCCCTGCTTTTCTTCTGCCGTGTTTGTGTTTGGGATTTAGTCTAAAAGTGGCCCCCGATCAGCTGACCTGACCCCGGATCAGCTCTGAATGCTTCAGGTCTTAGCTGCTGCCTGACGTACATTTTAATCACAGCTCAGAGACCTGCCACACACACACACACACTCTAGAAACCACACACTATGTGGAAACCACACACAGATACACACACACCAATCAGAGGGATGACAGAACAGTGAAGTGAACGGATTATCATTTAGAGTCGGCTTAAAAAGGGGTGAAAAAATTAAAGCACATTGGCGGATGTTAGCCAGCGGTTGATCAAATTTGTTATTGACTAAGGTTTAAAACGAACCCTGTTTTCTCCCCTCATCAATGAACACAGAGATAAAATGAATAAAAAGAAAATCAAACAGAGAAACAGAACTGTTCCACGTCTGTCTGTGGTGTAGAACCTTTGACAAGGTTCTCACACCTGAACAGGTTCTTCTCTCATCTTTGACTCTAGACCTCGACCCAAACTGATCAAAGATGGGATTTCCCATCAGGCATTGTGGTTACACTCAGACAGGGACTAGTCCTGAGTCTGCAAAGACAAAAGTGATAGCTTTTCTCTTTGTTGTTCTTCCTTTTCCTCTCATCTTCTTCACTTATTTTTCTTAATTTCTTCTGTCTTCTCTTCCTCTTCCACCTCCTACTTCTCCTCCTCCCTATTTCCCTCGTTCTTCTTCAATATCTTCTTCATTTCCATTTCTATTTATTGTCTCCCTCTCTTCTTATCGTTATTCTCCTTCTCTTCTTTTCTTCCTTTTTTTCTTCTTCTTTAACGTCCAGCCAGTGTTTTAGTCCTAATCCACATCAGGACTAGAGACAAAATTCCAGAGTGATGCAGATGTTAAAGGCCGTTTTCATCTGAAGCCTCACTGTTACTGCTGCTGCTGCTGCTGCTGCTGCTCTCACCTGTTGATCACAGCTGTGTGATGTTTAATGAGCAGAGACACAGACAGACATCACACATTTACTGAGAGCAGATGCAGTCGAGTTTGAACCAAACTCAGTTTTCACAGTGTGTGTGCTCATGGTTTCCACCGTTGGGTTTCACTGATGTGTTGTGTTGGCTAACACTTAGCTCAACTCTAACTACAAACTTTTTTTGGGGTGTTTTTAGTCAGCAGACCCAGCTTTTACAGCCTACTTTGGGGCTAACTTTCAACAATATTTTTAAATGTTTGGCTTACTTTTAGCTCTTCTGTGCTATTTCTCACTGTTTGGCCAACTTTGAGTCATTTTACTCCGTCGTAGGAGGCAGATTGGGCGTCTTTAGCCTATTTCCCGTCGCTCATTTCCCGTCTTTTGTCCCATTATTTTCTTTTAAACCCACTGCTCGTTTTCTTTTTCCCTCTCCTCTTTCTTTCCTCACCCTCGGCTGTCTCCCTCATTCTGCGGGACTCAACTTTTCTTTAAGCAGTCTGAGTGTGTGAGTGAGTGAGTGAGTGAGTGAGCGAGCGAGTGAGTGAGTGAGTGAGTGAGTGAGCACTCTGGAGGCAGTCAATACCGTATCAGCTCCTGCTGATCGCTGACACCTTGACGTCCTTGACAGCGAATTATTACTTTTTCATGACGCAACTGGCTGCAATTACAGCAACATCTTTGCTGCTCCTGCAACTGTCAGAGGGTGTTGATGGTGGTGGGATCCTGGAGGAGCTGAGACATCAGTCTCTGAGTCCCTCCCAGATCTGTGCCCAGACAGACAGACAGACTGACAGACGACAGGAGGAGCAGGCGGAGGAGGAGGAGGCGGCGGAGGAGGCTGAGGGTTACACATTCAAACATGCCCTAAGATTCAGTAAATATCTGCGTTCTGCTCAAATTCCTTGTGTGGCAGAAAGACTCGGGGGTTTGTTTAGAGGCCTGTTGACTGACAGAGAGAAAGTGCCGCAGTTTTGTTGTTGTTGTTGTTCTGCAGATGCAGGTGGAGCGGGCTTCATGTCTGCTGCCGCTGCTGCCGCTGCATAAACAACTGTGTTTGTGTTGTCATGATGAAACACACTCCGAAAACCCTGTAGGCCTGATTATAAAGTTTAACCACGCGCTTTAACAACAATGAGAGGGAGGCAGAGAGAAAACACAGCAGGAAAAGCTCAATTAAGACTTCAGAGTGTCAGTGTTTCCCTGCAGCCACGCAGCAGAAGAAGAGGAAACTCAAAGACAGAAGGAACCTGTGATGATGACGACGATGCTGCTCACCTCTGTGAACACAGACACAGGCGGGGGAGGGGTGGAGGGTGTGTGTGTGTGTGTGTGGGGGGGGTCTTTACCTACCTGGAGGTGGATGTTGCCTCATGTCTCTTTGTGTCTTTGCTTTGTCCCCAGGTTCTGGAGAGATGTGAGGGTGAAGGTGTGAAGAAGATGACGATGGAGGAGGAGGAGGAGGACAGGGAGAAGAAAATCAGAAAAAGTATGAACTTACATCTTTAAAAACAATGTCCCTTTGCCATTAAAACAGTTTCAGGGCATTTGAATCATTTTCAGGGCAATTTCATGAAAAGTCACAACTATCTTTACAAAACTTTTAGCTATTTCTAGGCTAACATTTAGTCCATTCCACAGCTAACTTTAAAATACTCGTTTGCTTGGTTAGACCTATAATGACGTGGTTGCAGAAGTTTACCAAAAACCAATTAGCCAATGAAAAACAGCAGCAGCTTTACACCAGAACCAGCCCTAATACCAGAAGATCTTAGAAAGTAGTCCAGTGGCCTAGATGTTAAATGATAAGAGTGTTGTTGGTTCAAATCCCAGACTCTGCAGACCTGTGTTCTGTTGGGCCAGCAACCAAGACTTTGCCCCACAAGTGCAGAACACAGATTTGGATGTGTGCATATTCAGAATAACAAATAAAGTGGTTAAGATCCCACAGACCACAGAGAATAAATATGGAAGAACAGTGAGGTCACACAGACATGGACGTCTTCAGAAACTGAGTAGACAGAAGACAACAGGTCAGTAAAGCTTCCTGTCTGACTGTTGGTCAAACTTATTTTTTAAGACTTTGAACGCACCACACAAAATAAACACACACAAATAAAAAAAGATGAAATTATTTCTCTCTTTAAACGTTATAAAAGCAACGTTATTGTAATTTCCTTACTCTATTACGTTTACAACAAACAAACACGTTACGTTTATATAATTAAAAGAAGTGAATTGGCCCAATTGCTCTTTGTCAACGTCAGATAACCCTCGGTTATGTCAATTAAATATCCTTCACAACAAACTAACACTTTCTTAAGAAGCTATGAAACTTGTTAAAAGTTACATGGACACTGAAAAACACCTGAAAAAACAAACCTGGTGCCTTCCTCAGCCAGCTACTTAAGAAAATCAAATCGCCGTCGGTCTCATACGTCACAAACACGTCCACAAACACATTTAGGATCGGACTCCCTTATTGTTTCCCGTTTCGACTCTTTCAAAATAAAAGTGCCGTCTTCCAAATAAAGGCGGAAAAATAATAACCTGGCTTTGAGACATTAGTACAAAATGAACAAATAAACAGAAAACAGAAAACAACACACCCAAGGTAATATTACCGGTCATTTACAGTCAGAGAGGCTGCAAGGACCCCTACAGGAAATTAAAGGAACTACAGCAAGTTTCCACGAGAACTATTAATGGGAGGAGACATTATATTGACTTGGGGTTCCTTTTACAGATGTTTATTAACAAAAAAGAACTAAAGCACTGTAGGTTTTACTGATAAACAATACATAGTGTAATACTGACCAGTTCTGCCTGCTCCTCAACCAACGGCAGAGTCATCCCCAAGAAGCAATCTTCATAGTCAACAAATATGATTCTTCAACATAAACGTCTCATAAACCACATACGCACAGCTGAAGATGAAGCATGGAGGTATAATCAAAGAAACAAACTCACAGGTAACCACTACAGGTGCTCCTCCATCTCTCTGTGGTTGGGTTGTCTTTTGCGTGCTGACCTACAACGACCCTTGTCCAATATCTTGAAAGGCGCCTTGGAAATCATAAGGCCAAGAGTAGCATGGTGACCAAGACACTAGAGTGGAGGATGATGTTAACATTCACATCCCTTTCTTCTTTATGATTATATTTGGCTTTTTTTTTTTGACAAATATTTGTATTTGTTGGGCTATATTGTTGTTTTTTAACAGAATGACTTTAACTGAAAGATTTTAAATGACCTAACTCAAATTTTTAAGTTGAAACAACTAATAACATTTTACAGTGTCCAGGTCCACAGGTCCAGCAGAATGACTTTGGTCTACTTCTCTGCTTTAGGTCAGAGGGAGACACGATGATGATTTTTCTGAGTGGTAT